TCCCACCCCGTTTCGCTGCATTTTAGTCGTCTGTGTTTGCAGTCAGGGATGAAACACAGACGTTGCTTGATGCACATACCGGCTAGCTTAAATGAGGTTGTATTATTTGGCTTCTTCACTAATAACAAATAAACAAAATCGACTGTTCTATTCCTCTTACCTCTTGTCGCTACACCCTGTCAGCAGCAATGCAACATTTTCCAATACTTGATGGGATACCAAAAAACTGTGCAGTACTGTCAGCGACATGTAGCACCGTATCACTGCTTCATGAGTTCCAATCCTGAATACTTTCGTTTTAGCTATTTGTATATGGTGCCTACTGTAAGCAGTCCGGCAATCTGTCCGGTGAATTCGCGGATTTTGTGAACGATCCGAGCTCGCGTGGAACAATTCTGCTTGCATTTGGGACACTCGTGGACTGGAAGGAAGCCCCACCTGAACGACGGGAAACTTTTGCCAGAGCTCTCAATAAACTCCCGGACTACCGCATCATCTGGGCATGTCGCCAATGCCCAGCAATGAGTCTCGGCAGTCATATTAGGCTATCAGACTGGGTACCACAGCAAGAGCTACTCAACCATCCACGCACCAAGCTTTTCATCACTCACGGTAGATTGAAGAGGTAAACTTTGAATTTATTCGTAATTGGACATTTTTTGACAAATTTCTCCTACACCTTGAACATATCTTCAAGTCAGCTTTTGTAAATTTTATGTAAACTAGCAGATAAAAAAAAGCACAGTTTCAGCCTTAAAGAAGCGACATGTGCAAGAATGCCGACCCTATTTTTGCCAATTCTGGGTGAACAGGTGCGAAATTCATGGCTCGCGTATCATCACGGTTTCGGACAAATTATCAATAAATTCAATGTTACCGCCGATTACCTCTTATCACTTATTCAGGATGTGCTTAACAATCCATCGTACAAACTAAAAGCCGAGAAATTGAGGAGGCATGATTTTCTGGTACTTTGAATGAATTGTAGTTTTGTTTATAAACCAACTTGACTGAAGATTCCACAGACCAGGCTAACGACACAAATTTCACGATATTTCCTAAGATGAGCTTACTTGCCACGCATGGCTATGCAACTTTGTAAGAGTAAAGCTTTTATAATATAATAATATAAATTTTATAATTTAATAGTATAAAACAATGTAATGAGATAGTATTGGAACCAGACATTATGATGAATGAGTACTGTCTCGCTCGAATCGTTAAGCGCCGCATCCAAAAGTACTTGTGGATTATAGCTGAGCAGTGCAGTGCTTGTTCTTTAATAATCCAGGAAGATGTGTTCAGTCACAGACGATCCGAGATTATGCAGCGCACTTGACAAAGTAATAGCACGATCAGCGTGAAACTTCCAGACCTGCGAGTTCTGAGAATCCTACATTACGATCCAATCCTACATTAGCGACTCTTACTTGCTTCTCCAGAAGCTGCCATCCCAAAGTCCTTCTTGGTCACCTGGACATTATATGAATGCAGTTACCTGTTGACGACGAAGGAAGATTGTCATAGAGTCAGTCCTCAAAAAAGAGACTGATTTGCTACTGCCGTTCTTGTTGCCGAGATGAATGCCTACTTACCTCGTTGTTTACCTCCTTTGCATATTTTATATTGCCTCTCCGATAAATTCACCATTCGTTCTCATGATGGAGTGATTTATGACACATTGTCTGCTGGCACTTACGGTGTCGACAACACTCTGCGAGACGCCTAACAAACAAACATCTGAAGCTGTTGAAAGGGCAGGAATAAGTCGGTAAAAATTTGAAAAGTTTATTTTCTCTCTTTTATTATTTAAATATATTTATATTTGATTAACCCGTCTTTTAAAATGTAATGCCCCACAGAATGCGAGATGATTTACACAAACAAACAATAAGTACCACTTCAACACTTAAATTAGTAGTTGTTTCATTGTCGTGTTCCTTCTCGTCATCGATACAACTCGTAAATCCTCCACTTATTTTCGTTCTATGCTCAAACTGAGTATGTAAGTGCACTAGGATTAACAAACCAAATTCCCATGTAACACGATTATGCGTCTATTTGTTTTTTTTTTTTTTTTTTTTTTTTTTTTTTTTAAATC